CAGCGCAGCCGTTGAAACACACACACGCGTATCGTGTAAAACGTTTCATGGAGAGGAACGGAATGCAGGAAGAAGCGCACACAATCCCCACAGACACCCGCAATCGTGTCTGGTTGCATCTGTTCCACTCTTTGGCACTCGATGCATTCCTGTGCGCCTCGCCCGTGAGTCCCACTGCCGTAGGATGCCAAGTCCCTGCACACAAAGGACTCAGGACGCGGCAACGAGGTTTCCCAATGACCACCTCACGGCCATGCCTTTTGGATATCTCATGGACCGAGCGCCTCTCGCTGCAGGCCACACCACCCAAAACAAGCAGCACAATGCGCTGAGGAGTTGTGAGGGCAATCGTCCCAACACCGCCACCGCCACCCAGACCAGGATGATTCTCCCATTTGCCACCACACCCTTGAAATGGTCCGGTGTTTTTTCCTGCTTCTCCACTGTTTTGGCCACCACTCGCGCCATTTGGCCCTATCACATGATCGCCCTCCATCGATGCCAACGACAGCCCAACCCGCAGCGTCCTATTCCTGCCCGTCTCCATAAGCATGCAGGCATGCTTCAGAAACGGATCCCCGTTCGTCGCGGCGTTGCTCGCAGAGGCACTCGTGCTCCGTTCGCTCTGCGCCGACGCCGTGCTGTATTGTTGCACGCTCCCGGCCCTCCTCGTCACATGCTCAAGGTTCGCAAACAAATGGGCGTCGGGCGTCAGTCCACCGTCTCGGATCAGCTGCTGCCTCTTGGCCTCCGTCAACTCGTCGGTGCTGCTCGCAGCCACAAGCAACAGGAAAAGACGCAGACGCACTGGCCGGGGCATCGCGGCATCCCTCGTCAGATGCTGCACGCTCTCCAGGTTTTTCCTGAGGGGTTTGTGCCCAACGGCGATGTCTTGTTCCACCTCCCGCGCCTCCGCCAGTCGTTTCTCCCGGTACTGTACCAAAAGCCTCGCGCAAAAATCGATGTGCAGCGACAGTCTGGCTTGCCTCTCCCGAAACTCCGGCGGAGCCCGCACCGCACTGCTCAACTCCGCAAGATTGGCCTTCGGCTCCACGCCCTGCGTCAATCCCGGGTGATACGCGTGGAGTTTTTTCAGCGCCACCGAAAGCTCCTCCACGCACTGCGCAAGAAAACAATGACGGTAGGAGCACCAGTACACATCTTCCTCATCAATTACTGCCGCTTCGAGTCCGCACCCAGACAATTCCCACAGGTCTGCTCATACACTTTCTTCCCCAGCGGCATCAGGTCATCAAGCAGACACTGACATGTGCGTTGGTACATCAGCGGCGTCACCGTGACACAGCCCCAATCAACGATGATCCAAACCGGGTTGCCGCAACTGTCGGCGCCCCTAATTGGAATCCGGCTCGTCGTGGTATTGCCTGGCGAGCCCTCGAAAAAGGTCCCGGCAAACCCATGGCAGATATCGCCATTGCTTTGTTGGCGAATGACAGACACACTGTTGTTCATGGCGTGAAAAGCCGCCACAAGACGTGACGTCGCAACATCCACAACGGACTCTCAAGTCTGTGGCGACAGTGGCGACAGCAGCTGAGGGAACCCATTCTGCATGCTGAGGTGGAGCACCAGCACCTCAGGGGCAGCAAAGTCTAACATGATGTCCTTGGAACGCATCGCCCTCGGCGCTATCCGAGCCCGCGCGAGTTGCTGAAGGCGGCGATGCGGGGTGCACCCCAACGCAAAGATGTGTACATCCCTGTAAGCAACCTTTGCCATCCAATCCTCAACTACGCGGCTCACAGAAGCATCATCCACGGGAAAAAGTGGCGCGCAGGGCTACTCATAAACGGCTGCCGCGGCGTCATGGGGTCCTCGAGCAGCGTCACGCCGTGCTCCATGAGGTCATGGAGACGCAGTGAGCAGCTCAGCACAGACGCAGCATGGGCAACGCAGAAAAAAACCTTAGACGATCCATGAACGGCGTCAAGCATCTGGTGGAATATATAATCCCGCACACAACCACAAACGCCATTGCTGGGCTCACACAGCTGCCCGCTTCCGTCGGCCTTGCTCGCACCAACCCGCCCCACATAATATGTCAAGTAGAAGTCACACAGACAATGTGCTTGGATGTGTGTGTGTGCCTTGTGTGTGCGCACATTTCACTCGCACCGCTTTTTGTGTATGTGCGTCTCAGAAAATCTAACAAACACACAAGCAATGCCATACGACCATATGATGCCCCCAACATCGGCAATCAACACAAGAAGAGCTGTGTGCATCGAAAATACCACCAATTTCAAACACAAAAACGGAGCGGACACAGCACATGCATATGGAGAAAGGAACCCATTGAAATGGATGTTTTCTATTGGACATCCAATGCTGAGTGCAGGCCACGCAGGAGGAGGCGCAGTCGCCTCGCAGCGCAACGCCGTCCACACCGCAACTCGATGGAGTGTTACCACGGCGGCAGCAGCAGAGGCAAGCAGAAGCAGCGGACAGGGACAAGCAGCAGCAACAGTGTCATCACCGGGAGTCGGAGGTGTGTCCTGCCTGCCGTCCGTCTCGCTGCTTCGATCCCTGCCGCCGAGAGAAGTTTCTTGCGGTCTGTCAGGGCATCCTGGCCGGATCCACTTCTCCTCTGGCGACGGATGCTTCTGGAGAGCAGCCGTGTCTACATCCTTCGGTGGTGTGCCGCGGCCGGTCTCAATGCTCTCCGCAACGGGGACGGATGCCCCTGGCAATCCTTGTTCAGTAGATGCCGGTGGAACCGTCCTGCTTCACATGCTCTCTCCTCGCCGTCCCACGAAACCACTGGAAGTAGTCTACCGCTGCTGGCGGATATCGTGCACACCTGCGCGTGGTCACGGCAAATAACGTTTCCCTCATCGTAGGGTCGAGCAGCCCACGCAATCGTCGCTGCGTCCGTGCATGGGAAACAACGGACGTTACCCTCTTCAGTCACTGCCAGATGCAACTGCATGCCGAGACACCTCAATGCCGCATGCATGGCAGCACTGAAATATGTCTCCTCCGGGTTCCTCGAATCCGTCGTGTTGGTTGGAAGCGTGTCCAGTCACCACGAAGAGGGCTCATCCTCAGGCACCGCAGAAAAATATTCTCCCCTCCAAATAACAGCGTCAATATCCTTCATATCTAGTGCGGGATCAGTGATGGGGCAACGGCCCATCGGGCATTTGGCTGGCATTTCATGGATACTCCCAAATACCAACCGCTAAAATAACGATCCGACGAGCAGCGTCTGGCACAAACGCCCAATGCGCAGAGCATGTGGGGATATTCACTCATGTTTAGTGCGGAGCAATTCCTCTGCATTCGCCGGCGCCCACAATCGGTGCCATCCACTCATCCCTCGCGTGGCGCCGCGACCGGTGGGACTCCAGCGTCCTCCCGTCCCCATCGCCATCCTGCAGTTCCATGCCATCAGTGTCGCCGCAATATTGGTGCTCCCTCGCAGCCATCGCGGCATTCGTCGAGTGCACCACCACCAACAGCGCCCCGCCACGCACACCGGCAACATGCCTCACCATGCTGCGGCTGGCCATGTGTGGGCAGTTGAACCCGAGAGCATGGGCCATCAGGTGTGCAGCGATGCGGGCGGCGATGCGTCCGTGAAATAAAACTGACTGGCAAAGTGCATGGTGCCAGCGACGGGACGGCCATCCTCCAGCGCGACGCACCGCAGTGCCCACACACCACCCGACGCCGCAGCCACGGACATCACCATGACAGAATTGGGAACACCAGTGGAACGATGCCCATCAGGCACCGTGAACCAACTGCAAACGCTGCCCGTGGCAAATGAGTACACAATCAACGGACCCTCCAGTGGCTGGACGAGCAGACGATCCGCATGCAGTTTGACAGCAGCAGGGATAGTCTCCTCGGCAAGGATATTACCGTGCACAGAGGATAGAAAACCATCCTCACAGTGGCGGTTTTCATTCAATGAATTCATTGCGTGAGACCAAGAGGATCCGCGGTGCCTCCTGCTGTCACACGGGTCTGTTGTTGATGCCTTGATGCGGACGGACAACCATGGGTCCTTCCAGACGCCGCTGCACAACTGCAACGCGTCCAGCGCCCTGGGATGCATTCTCCCCACCGTAAACGAGATAAAACTCGCTGTGGGAGCGCACCACATCGTCAAGAAATAAGGAATACTTCAGGGTGAAAGCAAGACGTCCGCCGACAAACCACATCGCACAGATCATCACAATAGCAGCACCAGTAGTGGCGCAGACCGTGGGGTTAACGTGGATCAACTGACGCATGCCATAAGCCACAGACAATCTTAATGGCTTTAGAAGAATACAAGAGGCTGGCACTTCCTCAACAAAAACAAAAAAGTAGAAAAAAAAAAGGAAAAATTCAAGTCTCCAAAGTCAAAGCAACCCAATAATCCACAAAAAAAAGGTGATGGGTGCACTCAACCACAACACAAGTAAAACAAAAAGTGTAAAAAAAACAAAAAGCCAAAGCGTGGGACGACCAGCGCACACACTCTCATTGCTCCCGTAAAGCAAGACACACACACAGGGAGAGAGAGAGAGGTCGCCCACTCAATGCAATAAAAACAAAAACAGTTACGGTGCTCCGCCCATGCAGCCAGGCAGGACGGCAGCGGTGCGTGTCGTGCAAAAGAGAGCACCAACGGGCAAGCATGGGTGTGCATGCATATATACAATGGGCACATTATGTGTGTGCTTCGTGGGGTGAGGTGAGGGCGAGAGTCCATGCAAGGGGACACACACAGAGAGTGAGTGAAGGACGAGTGTGTGTGCGGGCGGTGCATAGCTCTCTCTCCCTCACTCTCACGCGGCCACCACCGCAGCAGCAGCCGCACACGCAACAACAAGAAGAAGCAAAAGAGGGGAGGTGGTGTGGAAGACCGCGGTGCTGCCGTCACTGTCGCCAGTCGTCGCCGTATCGGTTGTGTTGGCGGTGGCTGTTTGTGGTGCTTCCTCACTGAGAGTTGGAACAACGTTGGTATTGCCAGTTTCAAGGCTGTCGTGTTGTCCTTCAGAGCTTTGAGCATCATCCTTATCTGCCTTATTCTGGACATGATCACCGCTGCCACTTGTAGAGGAAGATGAGGATGTTGTTTCTGCTGGACTGCCGGTTGCTGCATTCTTCGTCGAATCCTCTGTGTCCGTGTCATGACTGTGCTGCTCTTGTGTAGTATCCCCTGAAGGTGGTTCCGATGCTTCTGAGTCAGTCTCGAATTCTGACGGTGTGTTTTCGTTTTTTGCTTTGGTTACTTTCTGTAAGCTTTCTTTTTCTGCTGTTGGGCTTTCTTCACCTGCTGATGCTGGTGGTGGCGGTGGTGCAGGTCCACCCGATGGTGGTGCGGGTAATGATTGTGGTACCTCCGCATTATTTCCCCTCTCTTGTGTCTCGGGTTGTAATTTGTTTTCTTCTTTTTCTTTTCTCGTTTCTTCTTCGTCTCTCTCTCCATCATCGCCAGATTTATTGCGAGGGCCAGCAACCCCGTTCTTCAGCGTTTCCGTGGGCAATTGTTTAATGTCGGAAGTACCCGTCGAAGGGTGTTTTTCACCAGAAGGAGTGGAAGTGCTGCCAGATGAAGAGGACAATTGATCGTTGGTTTGGTCTTGGGAGTCCGTTGCCGCTTTGTTATTGGGATCCACGTTTTTGTTTTCATTCCCTTCTTGACCAGCCGCAGGTAACTGCCCGGTTTCTGCACCTGCCCCTGGCACTCCAGGTTCAGACGGCGAGGTTGGTGTTGCTGCACCTGCGGCACCATTCCCTCCTTTTGGGCCAGGCGTTTCATTGTCCCCACTACCAGCGGGCTCACCACCAGGCGCTGTTTTCTCCTCCAATGGGGCATTACCATTTTCATCTTCACTGTCATCCCCAGCTGCAATCGCCTTTATTAATCCCATTCGGGTGGAAATCAACCCGCGATCCGCCTTCAGGCGCAGCCTGTCATTTCCTCCATTATGCGTGTGCGTCAATACGTTCCCATCATCCTCAACGCAGCGGTTGTCCATTGCAATTCCAAAAACAGTGACGCACCACAGCACGCAGAGGGCACACACCAGCAGCACACGGCCAGTCATCATCATCGCCATCACTCCTGTCACTTGCGTGTAGCCTTCAGCACAAACTAACTCCCCGTCAACGCAGAGCCGAAGCAACAAAAGAGAAAAGAGAGACAAGGCTGCTACGCCACCAAGCAGTGACAACAACAGCATCTCAGCAACACCATAAGGCAGTTGGAATCGGTGCGATTGCAAACAACACACACAGCCCTGCAAACCAGAAGCCAAAAAGTAAAGACGCACAACAACAGAGTTGAGAGTCCGGAAGGGCTCCCAAAAAGTAAAAAAATGAAAAAATGATCAGGCACGACTTTCATTTCATGTGCCATGTGGCACAAAACGACCGTGTTTTTGTCTATACATATTGCCTACACAAGTAAAAACAATAAAATCAAAAATAAAACAGATCGTACTGTTCCACCAGCCCACAAAACACCCCTCACATTTCGTGAGTCATCCGGCCTGTTCCTCCAATCCCCCTTTTTTTTGTGCAGTCCACGGCACGCACAGCAGTAAGGCTGGCGACGGTGTGGGCCACAAACAACAAATAAAAGTAAGAAACACGTCACTCATGACATGTACGGCGATTAACCGTCGGACGGAAAAAGGAAAAGAAGGGGTGCTGAGTATCCCATCCGTGCACCAGCAGCAGCAGACAATGACAATGAATCATTTAAATAAAGCAGAGAAAACACGCGGAAAAAGCGGCACGTACGGTCCATTAGAGATCGCACAACCGCATTCTACGGCTCATAAAAATGCCACGTCTCCACACACTCCTTGAAGTAGGGGCAGAAAATGCCCAAGGCACACACCCATGGACGGCACCGTCACCAATTCATTTTGGGAACAATAAAACAGTAGAGCCATTGACATCAGTGGTGCTGTTTCCCGCGCCAAATTCCCCCTTGGCGGGCACTGGCAACATTTCCCCCGCAGCCGCGTCAACGCCCGGATCCTGTGGCAGTTTGGCCGCAAAATTCCCGGGGCGCAGTGTCGCTTTTCCCTCCTTGCAACCCGCTTCAGTCTGTTTGCCACGCAAAAGGGGCATCTGTAGTTCCTGCCCGGTCAGTGGGCGGTTGCACAGACAGAAATGCGTCAGCGTCACCTGACTGGAGCCTGAGCCACCGCAACCGTCACCTCCAACGTAGAAGCATGAGACGTCGAGCAACTGCGCCCCACGTGTAACTGTCGTTGCTGAGCTCCCCAAAGTTTTGCCACCCACGCACACGGTGCCCATGCCGTTGTGGAGCACGAATGCCACCCGGTACGTTCTCTTGAGCCCGCAGTTCCCGTGCTGCACTTCTCCCGCCTCACCGTCAAACGTCGCCTCCCGCTTATTCTCCGCCGTGACTGACAGTCCCACCATCCTCACACTCCCAGCGCCACCCACAGCGACCATAAGGGCGCTGCCGCTGCCCGCAGGAGCCGTCCCAATCGTCACCGTCACCAAAAGAGTGAACTTCTTCTTCACAATGTGGAATCGTTGATCTCGCCACCGATTACCCACAGGCCACTCTGCCCACACCCCAGGCCCCTCAAACGTCGCACCGCCCTCAACCTTCGTTGCCGTCCCAACCACCGTGGCACTCGCCGCGAGATATTCGTTCACCCAGCAATCCCTCTCACCCTCGTTGGACAAATATCCGACCAGTCCATCCGCGGGCGTAGGAGTGCTGCAGGCACCGTCGGATGCGGTTCCCTCTTTGCTGGTGGAAGTGCAAGGCGTTGTAACTTTCTTGTCGACTGCATCCCAATTCCTCAGCGCAGTATTTATTTCATCCAGTTGCTCAGTGAGGTGTGCGAGCACAACACGCCCTTGTCCTGCATTCCACTCGTACAGGGCAAACACTTCACCACCCATGTACTGCAGAGTATCTGCGTTTTTGAAAACACCATCAGCAAATAACGGTCCAATGGGGTAAAATCGATTCATATCAGTCATATAAAGACGCAACACGCTCGTGGCCCTCCGAATATTATTCTGCCTGAGAAAAGCAAACAGCATTACACTCCTCCCCTCGATGGATGCCGTCACAATTTCGAGTCGGCCACAAGTCGTAGCACTCTTCAAGGCCTCACTCAAGACATTCAAATGTGCTCCGCCGAATTACATCCATTCCTCCCCATTTCACCGGAATCATGTACTTTCCCGTCATGGCCCCCATGCGTGGCGGCCATGAGGAGTTTTCCCTCCCACTCGAAAATATTGGGATCAGCGCAATCCCGTCAACAACACCCTCCGCAGGGAACCCCCAATTCCCGCCACAGCCCTTCGAATGGATGATGTTGCAGACTTTTGTGTTGTCCCCCTTCACAGCCACAAGGGGAAACACAATCGCGGTGCCATTCGCCACCACGCCCCTGCCGCTAATACCCCAGAACCCATTCCATGACTCCGCTCGTAGCTGACCGTCAAAAACAGCCTTGGAAGGGCTCCCAGCACCCCACGTAATGCGCTTGCCCACATCGTTGGAGACCAAAAACGTCACCCAAAACAGGCACAAGCTCCCAAATGTGTGGAGTTTCCAAAATCGCGCTGGCATTTTTCGCAGGAAGGCGTTCCACAGGCAGAAAAATATTGCCGTCTTTCGTCAACGCCTTGGGACCGTTCAATTGAGACGCATGAACCGCCTCTTCTCTTCGTTCCACGGCAATGACCGTCCTCCAGTCTGTCACGCTCTCCGCTGCGATTCCTTTCTCCCACTCCTCCCGTGTAAAACTCAAGTACTTTGCCCAAATGCCAACACTGGCACTAGAAGGGACTCCCTAATTGGCCTTGGCAATACCCACAATTAAGCCATAGTGGTTCAACAAGAGAATGAACGATAAACGATTTGACAACATTTTCTCCATAGCTGTTGCCTCTCAAATGCGCCAGAAGACACCTTCGTTTCCCGCCATACAAAAATAGCCATAGGCTTTGGATCACTCGCCTTACTGGCACGCGCAACTCCAGCGCCGCAGCACATCATCACGACGACGAGGAGCAGCACCGCGGAAGTAAACACACGCCGGGACATGTTGGGCCTCTGCGGCTCACTCTCTCTTCCTTCCCTCCTCCTTCCGCTGGATCCGGTCACGCGGCGACGGTTGTGTGTGCGGGGTGCCTTCACTGCAGCAACACGTGAGAGCATATAAATATGTGTGTGCGGTGTGTGTGCTGTTGTTGGTTCTTTCAGTGCCTTCGAATTTCACAGTAGCGTTTAGCGCTTGTTTTCCTTCTTCGTGAGTAAATGAAAAATAAATAAGGAGAAGGCATACCAATAAATAGGAGCACAACAGTGAACACCCTCACCCATCCACAGTGAGTGGCACCATCATCCCCGCCGCAGTCACTCCCCACAACAACAACTCACGCACACAGACACACGGAACGAGAAGGAAGAACAGTGCACCCGAAACACACAACGACTGCCACCAGCAGCAGCAGGAGTCACGGCGGGCGCTTCTACCACGCGTTTGCACACACCGAGTAACACCAACATACAAATCAACCAGCGGAACGCAAAAGACACAGACACCCTTCGCAGCACCAACGTGCTGCCGCGATTCGTTTTACTTTAGTCCCTACTGGATGCCGCTCCTCCGCCAGCGCACATCACCCCGCACAGCCAAAGAATATCGGCAAATCCACAGAGTCGGAGACACATCAGCACGTGCAGCTGCTGGAAAAAAATTAATCCACACTTGTCCCAGGCACACTCGATGCCACCCAATCGACCACACACCAGCAGCACGTCAACAAGACAAATCGCGGGCTCAATTCAACCCTCTTAGGAAGGGCCGCCGCCGTCAGAATATTGTGCGTGCGTGCGTTCTCAGCGTTCACTCAGCTCCACGGCGTGTGTGACACGGCATGTGTATGTGCTTGTGCTTGTGTGCTTGTCAGCGCCTATAATTGCAGAGCAGCTGTGCAGCACAAGAGAGTCCAAATAAAGCAACGGCAGAGAGAAACGGATAGCACACACGCAAATTCCACATATCATCACACACGCGCAGTCTGTGGAATGGGTGCACTCAACCACAACACAAGTAAAACAATAAAAAAAAACAAAAGCCGAAGCGTGGGACGACCAGCGCACACACTCTCATTGCTCCCGTAAACCAAAACACACACACGGGGAGAGAGAGAGAGAGGTCGCCCACTCAATGCAATGGAAACAAAACAGAAACAGTTACGGTGCTCCGCCCATGCAGCCAGGCAGGACGGCAGCGGTGCGTGTGGTGCAAAAGAGAGCACCAACGGGCATGCATGGGTGTGCATGCATATATACAATGGGCACATTATGTGTGTGCCTCGTGGGATGAGGTGAGGGCGAGAGTCCATGCAAGGGGACACACACACGCAGTGAGTGAGTGAAAGACGAGTTTGTGTGCGGGCGGTGCACGGCTCTCTCTCCCTCACCCTCACGGGGCCACCACCGCAGCAGCAGCCGCACACGCAACAACAAGAAGAAGCAAAAGAGGGGAGGTGGAGTGGAAGACTGCGGTGCTGCCGTCACTGTCGCCAGTCGTCGCCGTATCGGTTGTGTTGGCGGTGGTGATTCTTTCTGCCGTTTTTGGTGATTCCTCACTGAGTGTTGGAACAACGTTGGTATTGCCAGTGTCAAGGCTGTCGTGTTGTTCTTCAGAGCTTTGAGCATCATCCTCATCTGCCTTATTCTGGGCATGATCACCGCTACCACTTGCAGAGGTAGATGATGTTGCTGTTTCTGCTGGACTGCCGGTTGCTGCATTCTTCGTCGGATCCTCTGTGTCTGTGTCATGACTGTGCTGTCCTTGTGTAGCATCCCCTGAAGGCTGTTCCGGTGCCTTTGATTCCATTGCTGCTCCTGACGGCGTGGCTTCGTTCGTTATTTTTTTTGAATTATGTGAGTTTTCTCGCTCTGCTGTTGGGTCTCCCGATGGTGGCGGTGGTAGGGATGATACCTCATTATTTTTACCCTCGTGTGTCTCGGTTGGTGCTTTAATTTTTTTTTGTTTTTCCTCTTCCGTTTCTTCTTCCTCATTATCATCATCATCATCGTCATCATCATCAACCTCTTCCTCTGTAGGTGTGGAAGATGCGGGTGGCATCTTTCCATTAACAACTGTTGGTCCAACTTTTAAATCCTGGGTTTCTTGTCGAGGCGTTCCAAGTTTTTGTGATTGCACCAGAGGTTCACCACCACTTCCAAGACCTGCCCTCTCCTCGTTGGCAAAACAACCGCCGGCACCGCACCACAGCACGCAGAGGGCACACACCAGCAGCACACGGCCAGTCATCATCATCGCCATCACTCCCGTCACTTGCGTGTAGTCTTCAGCACAAACTAACTCCCCGTCAACGCAGAGCAAAAGCAAAGACACGGCCGTTACACCACACAAAGTCACGCCACAGTCACAAATGTCAGCACACACCATGAGGCAGTTGGAATCAGTAAGAAGGCAAAACACACACACACCCCGCAAATCAGAAATAAAAATAAAAACTGAGTTAATAGTCCGGCAAGACTCCCGAAAGGGATGAAGAAAATAGATTAGTTCGTAATTTTATTTCATGTGCCATGCAGCACAATATAGACGACCGTGTGTTTGTGTATACATCTTCCCCGCAAAAATAGAAGAAAATAACATGAGAAAAAAGAAAATATCATGCTGCTCCACCAGCCCACACAACATCCCTTATAATTCGTCCGGCATCCGGCGTGTTCCTCCAGTCCTCGTACGTGCAGTCCGTGGGACACACAGCAATGAGGCCGGCACAGCGACTGGATAAAAAAGAAAACAAGATGGAAAACACGTCACTCATAATGATGTGTAGAGCAGTTAAACAGCCACTGGGAAAACACAAAGATAATTATTATTCCAATAAAACACAAACAGCAAAAGAAGAAAGGAAACAAGCAAAAAGACTTAAAATGATGTCTTTGACAACATTCGGTAAGCCCCAGCGATGAAGTCGTACCTTGACGCGGTGCTGGGGCTCTGGTTGCGTATAGGAACTCCGCAGCAGGGCGTTGCTGCAAGCACGACGGAGAACAAGACGACTCCACCCCTCGAGAAGGTTCCACGCCATGCCCGGTGCGGGGAGGTGAGGCGGTCTGCCTGCAGACTGTCGGACAAAACTGCACGGCCGTTTCGCTGCGGTCACTCCGTTGATATCACACGTTGCGGTGACGTCCACAAGAACCCTGGCACCGAGGAGGATGGCTGCATCACTATTTGGCAGCTCAACATTGCAGGCCTCTCGTCCGTAAAAAAGATTGCATCTGCGGCGCGATTGGAGCTGCACCAACCTGACATCGTTCTTCTCCAGGAAACAAATAATCGAAGTGCCACAGCGGCAAAACTATATGGCTATAATGGCTTTCTTCAGGCCGCACTGGGCGCGGTGGTGGCGTTGCCGCTCTGGTGCGCCACTCTCTGCCGTGCGAGTGCCTGACGCCCCCTGGCACAGACCTCCTGGAGACCATTGCTGTCCGTGTGTTTCCACAGGGCCGTCCCAGCACCTGCGTGGTGAATCTCTACAACCCTCCCACAGCAACCGTTCAAAGATTTTCGTTTATTATTGCCATTCGTCGCTTAAGCTCGCAGCGATTATCGCGGGTGAACTGAATTTACATCATGGACTCTGAGACAGACACCTACCCTCAACGACTGAAGGAGAGGATTTGTCCGCTACTTTAATTGACATGGATTTTGGGCTAGCAAATGACCCGGCGCAGGCAACACGGATCACACATCGTAATGTCTCGTCCCCTGACGTGACTGCGTATCGCGTGCTACGCATGACCCACTGGCAATCCACCCCCTACATGGATTAGGACCACTGCTTAATATCTTACTCGGTGGGGATGGATGATGGCATTCCGCGACTAGCCAACACGCTGCCTCGGCGGGAGAAAGCCACCTTTGCCCTGCGTAAGGCGGATTGGCCTGCTTCCACCTCGTTGTGTGAAACACTCCCTGCCACCGCGTCCGCATGGTTGGACGTTCGCAGTGGTATCTTGCGAGCAGCTGAGCGCCATATCCCGCGCGGCAGCCGTGACAGCCCAAAACAATCTGGACAAACGAAATGGAACAAGCCGAGTCCGCCGCAGAAGCAGCACGCAAAGCACACACATTGCCTCACCAGGAGACAGCCTGCTTCGAGACGAATTCATCCAAAATGTGGAGGAACAAAATCAAGCCTTACGCCGTGGCTTCGCTATGCTTCTGGACGCCCGTGCGAAAAACTTGGGGCTTCATCCAGCCCAAGCTGGCGATATCTTCGCGGCGTGGCGGCGCGGCATCCTCATCCCCTGGATTCAGTTGTGCTCCGCACTGATCTTCGGACCGCGTCTGTGCTCTGCCTCGGCAACAGGCAAATCTGCTCGTCCATCATTTTGTGCGAGTCTCACGTGTCACATTACCCTATACTGCTACTGCTACCGCACTCCATTGCCCCCTGGTGGCTGGGAAATGGATCGACCTCTCACGCCGTATGAACTTGACGTGGCCATTCGTGACTCTTTGCTTGGCTCAGCCCCTGGCCACGACAACATGTTGAATGAGTTCCTGCACCGTCTCGGGCCCGTTGCGCGCGGCACACTCTCAGAACGATGATCCACAACTCCTTCGCAAATGGCAGCCTGCCTGGCTCCTGGAATACGGTGGACACTATTCCCATTTCCAAACCTGGGAAGGGCCCATACCGCCCAGAGAGTTACAGACCTATCACGCTACTCTCTGCTTTACTAAATTAACTGAAGGAATGATTCACCGCCGTCTGTCAGTGTTATTGCCGCACCATCAACGTGAATTTGAATTTACACCTTCGCGTTCTACATCGGACGTGGCGACAATTGTTATTGGTAAAATTACTCATGGATTGAATGAGTTTGGCATTGTGGAGTATGAGCGCCCTGGAGGCGGCGCCCCACACATGCCACCCTCGTCACCATCGCTCGCTCGTAGCCTTGACTGATTTTTCGACTGCGTTCGACACCATTGACCATGGGAAGTTATTCGGCATGCTTGACGGACTCCCGCGCCTTGGCCACCGAACCAAACGCTGGCTGCACAACTACCTGCGGGACCGCTATGTTAGGGTATGCACTCGCGAACAGCACTCCCGGAAACAGCTCACCTCAGCCGGAGTACTGCAAGGCAGCGTCCCGGGACCCCAACTCTTCCTCCACTGTGTGGATGATCTGCTGCGCCGCATGGGCAGCATCTATTCTGCCTCCGCACTCATGTACGCTGACGACCTCACACTTGTTGCCTCAGGTGCGGACATCCATGCATGTGCTGCGGCAATGCAACCTGCCCTTTCACCTATAACGACATGGGCTGCCGAGCACAGCCTCAAAATCAACGTTGATAAGAGTGAAGCTGCTCTATTCTACATCTCTTCACACACACGGTCTGACAAGGAAATTGCCGATCTCCTTCCTGGCAATGGGAACCTACGTATTCAGTCCCGCCCAGTGCGCTTGCTGGACACCACGGTTGAACAACTCCTTAATTGTGGTCCGCACGCTTCCACCGCTTCAAAGCAGACCATGCCACGCCGTTGTCAATTACGCCTGGTCGCACAGACTGGTGCGTCCCATCACACCATGCAATCCTTTTCGATTGGATACGTCCATGGTGTGTCACTATATAGTGGCAAGTCAATTCTCCCATGCCTCGCCTACATCTACCTCCATAATACGGAAGTACTGTACCGCGACAGTTGTACAACATCCCTTGGCATTAGTGCACCAACGGAAGATACATCTGTCTGCTTGGAAGCTAATCCTCTTCGGCTCCGGAAGATACTCTGGCTCCGTGAAACCAATCAACACGAACACCATGCACGTTTCCATAATCACGAGGATTTGCACTCCCTTATCTACTCGGAACTTATGCCGTTGTCCATGCATAGGAAAGCGGCGACATCAATCCATTTTCAAAAGATGCCGTTATTAATGGATTAGAACGCGTATGTGGCACTATTGGGATACCACACAACCACAATCACGCTCCTCCCATTACTCAACATCGAATTATTCCCTGGGACGCCGTGGGTTGCAATAAAGTGGAATTTTATCAGCCACTCTTTGCCAACGACGCCTCTGACGATGGCAAGCGCACGGCTTTTAAATCCCTTTACTCCTCTCTAGAATATTATAATTTTGAATTATGGACAGACATTTCTTCATCCCTCGCCGAACTCGCATCTGGATTCGCTGCACCATTATACGGCCCCACAAAGACAAATGATCTCCCTGTGGAGGACCATCGTGCAGCAGCTGGCAGACTCGCGTGCTCATAGAGAGCAGAGTGAATTGCCACTGAAAATGGCATTAGACACCTCATACCTCCTCATCCGGAAACATCCCAATCGCCCACACAAATCCCGGTGGCAACGGACTCCCTTTCGGCAATTGAGGCGCTCCGCGTTGCCCCACTGGCCATGCGTGACTGCGTTGCTGAAGAAATTTGGGTTATGCTGCTCTCCTTAATAAAGCGAGGTCACCCTGCAGACCTTATATTTTCCCCATCGCACCGCGGTATCCCACGCACTGAGGCCGCTGACGAAGAAGCCACGATTGCACGATCCCTCCAGCAATGAGGCATCCCAATCTGGCACGTGGAATTCCTTGCCGCCGTCAAGAGGTTGTACTGGAAGGAAGTCCAGGAGGAAAGGAAGGCGCACACACCGCACGCCAGGCGCTCGTCGGCGCAAAAAAAGACCGTTCCTAGTGTCCAGGCAAACATCGGGCATCGAATCAGGACTTCGTGCGCAGGTGCGATGCGACTCCTGCCCACTCCTCGAAATACCGGCACGCGCCCTGCAGATCACAAGCAACCCTTTATGTCGGTGGTGCTGCTCCTCTCCCACACTGAAGAGGCAGGACCGCCCCGACCTCCTCCGGAACCTCCACCTGGCGTGTCCACGGCACCTCCTCGTAGAATGAAAAGCAGCGGATCAACGTCGCCCTGCCCAAGCTGCAGCAGCGTCTTCTCGTCCGTCCACAATATGAAGGCACACGGCCGACGCACTAACCCTGGCAGTCCAATCGTTGCAGAAGGCCTCACATGTGGATTCTGAGACAGCTCCACGGTCTTCCCAACAAGTGCCTCACGCGCAGGTCACTACCGAAAATGTCAAGCGTATCAACGAGCAAAAAACGGACAACGCACCTCTGCAAGCTCCAATGACAGCCATAGCCCTTCAGCCACTCCTCCGCTACTGCAACCACCACCAGCCGCTGAGCCCCGACAATACACGGGAGGACCTGCCGCACACGCTGTGGGAATGCCCCCGT